GCTCGATTGTTTAAATGGCCGAAAGCCTTTTTTCTTGTTTTTCCTTTTAATTCTATAAAAATCCAACTTAAATCTCTTTACGTTGATATATAAGTCTATAGATCTATGTTATACGTGTGTCGACCTTTACACAGGTTGGTTGTTTTTGCTTAGCGGCATATCAACACCTCCATGGGTTATTTAATGCCGAAACCGAAGTATTTTGTACGCAATTTTATTTTATTTTTGGAGATAATAATGATTTTAGTGATACAAGTCTTATTAATTAATTCATAGCTGGTGGTGGTGGCAAGGGGAGAAGAGGTGAATTCATACCATTCCCAAGGGTATTTGCGTGTAAGTTAATATAAAGAACCCGACTGGAATTGGAACTCGGCTATCCGATTAACAATTTTGAACCAATACACCATCCGCACATCCAAGCTTACAGCATCTGGGATAACCGAGCTGTCACCCATCTAGTTACTGAACCAGCTCGACTTCGGTGATCGTACGGGAACCGGTGTTTCATCGTGATACAGCCATAAGCCCTTACATGGGTATATATGTGATAATGCATACGCTTTCAAGCTATATATAGCGATCTATCTATCTATCTATCTATCTATCTATCTATCTATCTATCTATCTATCTATCTATCTATGTCTGTCTGTCTGTCTCTCTCTCTCTCTATATATATATATATATATGATAGGAAAACGAACAAGTAGATCTTAATCTAACATGTTTCACTTTATTAAAGCTTTGTCAGAAATCAAGAAAGAAATGATAAAAAATGATTAAAGTAAAAAGACGCGGATTCATTGGATGTTGTGTTAGGCTATTAGATGCTTAGATACGTGTCACGTGTATTGAAGTAACTGATTATATTTAAATAAGTGCGTCGACGCTAAAGTGTGTAAAAGTTAATAAGATGCAGTAGGATGTTTTGATTGAATACGTATCGCGTGTAAGGAAGTTACGTACAATATTAAAACAACCGCAAGAAAACATTCTGGATGTTAAAGTAACTAAAAGTAAGTGAGACGCTGCAGGATATTTTGAACAATTTTTCATTAGGGTATATCTCGTGCGTGTTTTGTATATATATTGATTTTTATGTATTTGGCTAGATTAGATTCATGAATAATGGATCTGTAGAAAAATGGTGATGTAATGTAGTTCTTTTAACCATATGTTAACAGTTGGTAATATTGCTATAAATATATTTTCATAATATTTAAATATTATCGGTTAATTTAATCCACGTGACACATATCTAAGCAACAAATCTGCCTAACGCAATTCAATCCACGTGACACATATGGAAGCAACAAATCTGCCTAACGCAATTCAATCCACGTGACACATATGGAAGCAACAAATCTGCCTAACGCAATTCAATCCACGTGACACATATGGAAGCAACAAATCTGCCTAACGCAACAGACAATTAATCTGCGTCTCTTTACTTTTAATCATTTTTTATCATTTCTATCTTGATTTCTGACGAAATTTAAGATCTGTTTCCTACTTATTCGTTTTCCTATCATTTTGTCGTATTCCTATCTATCTATCTATCTATCTATCTATCTATCTATCTATCTATCTATCTATCTATCTATCTATCAAAGTGGCCACTGAGATCAACACCAAGCAATGCTTGAACGCAATATTCAGGCCATGTATGTTGTGTTTTGACTCGACTATTTATATATGCTGGTCAATGGAACATTATAGGTTTTAAAATCTATTGTATTATCCTAAAGGTTATTGGGCATGCGATAACAGTTATTTTTCATATTATTTTAGGGGCTATTGAGTAGAAATTATTGTGGATCTGAATGCAGTTATTTGCAGCTGTTTCTGTAGAAAATGGTGATGTAATGTAGTTTTTTTTTAAAACATATGTTAACAGTTGGTAATATTGCTATAAATATATTTTCATAATATTTAAATATTATCTGTTAATTCAATACACGTTATTCATTATTGATTACTTAAATATTTGTTGTTGTTGATTATTATTATTATTATTACATTTAGCTGTGTTTATATGTATTTGTAATTTGTTAATTTGTTTTTATTTACTTGTTTATTTTATTTATTTTGATTTTTTACTTTATGTACTTTACACAGTTTTTTAATGCATAATTAAAGAAAATATATAAAAAAAGTGTGTTAAAGTCTGTCATATTCATCAATGAAAAGATCTAATAATGACAATTTAAAGAAATGTGGAAGAAAAACTAATTACACACAAGAAAGAATTGTATCTGTATAAAAAGGAAAGATCAAATTTTGATCATAGCAGCTGAAATGAAAGTAAATTTCACTATTTTGAAAAGTTCTTGCAGTGTAAATTAAGGCAGTTTGAGATATCTAATATAAGTGGGCAATGGGCATTAAGGTCAATACCCAGTGGTGAGAGTGTTTCATGCTTAAACACAACCTTTGGCTCAACTATTTATATATGCTGGTCAATGTCGCATTATGGATAGAAGGTCTATTGTATTATTCTGGTGGGTAGTAACACTTATTTTTCAAATTATTCTAGGGGTTATTGAGTAGAAATAATTATGGATCTGAATGCAGTTATTTGTTGCTATTTTATAGCGTTGTTTGTTAACCATTTTTGCTCATTATTTATTATTGATTACTCAAGTATTTCTTGTTGATCATTATTACATTTACTTGTGTTTATGTATGTATTTGTAGTTTATCAATTTGTTTATTATTTACTTAATCTGTTTAGTTATTTATTGATTTACATTTTTTGTTTCATTTTACTTAATTTTACGTTTTTTGTATTCGTTTTCAATTTTTAAGTAACTTAATAAAAATTTGTTTTCGTGTCTGCATTTTGAGATGAGTTCTGATCACTTATTTAATAATGTGTGATGGTCTGGGAAAGTGATTATAGCTATTTCCCCCTCCAGACTGAGTTTACAAAATAAATAAAATAACTCTAACGGAAGTAAATAATATTGATTATCATTAAGAAGTCCTTTAAATGTTAAATTTGTGCCACATTTTCTCTTTATCGCTCTTTCTCTCTCTCTGTTTTCATTATATCCCCTCCCTTTCTGTATATAATAAAAATATAGTCTTAAAGTAATCTATATTGGTAAAAGTGCTAAGAGATAGGGTGTATGTAAATAGAAAGTTGGACACTAATGTCAATACCAAACGGCAACGGTTTACTTCACGCTAAACGCAATCTTTAGGCTATGTATGTTATGCTTTGGCTCGACTGTTTATATATGCTGTTCATTGGTGCTTTATGGGTAGCAAGGCCTACTGCATTAGCCTGAGGATTATTGGATGGGTGGTAATGGTTAGGTTTTAAATTATTCTAGAGGCTATTGGGTAGAAACGGAAACGTATTTTAATAATAATAATAATAATAATAATATATATATATATATATATATTCATTGAGTCTAGACTAAGAATCCTTAGCAGAATGCAGAAAACACTGGACCACCATTTAATCCTTTTTGGGACTCATCAGCAGTGTGCACCCATTACCGAGAATCGAACTTGGACTGTTACGATACAACACATGTGTCATACCACTGGGCCGCAAGCCTTGGTGACGAAGAGGAAACATACTAGACTCACTATAGCATAGCTACTCCTAATTCCGGTGGTAATATTCATCTAAGTATACATGTTTGCATTGTATTATAACGGCCCGTGTTCAATTCTCGGTAGTGGATGTACACTGCTATTTGGTTCCAAAAAGCACAAAACATCCATCCAGGGCTTTCTGCATTCTCTTGAGGATTCTTACTCTCGACTCGATGGATTATTATGTGAAATTATTTAAATCTCCAATCTTTGTATATATATATATATATATATATATATATATATATATATATATATATATATATATTAATTTAAAGAAAAAAACTGAATGAATTTAAAATTTATTTTTAATTCATTTTTTCACCCTTGAAAGTAAAGTCAGAAGTTCCAGAGAAAAATAAAATCTCTGGTGAAATAAATTATAATAATGGAACCTTAAAGTGGTCTGTTTTTTCTTTAAATTAAATTCTTCGCTCTGACTTAACACTGAGCTTTCCGGATTTCATCCTCCTTGGGATTATCCATACAGATTACCAAGATTTTCGTTTATTACATAATCTTAGATATTAATACTTTTCCACAACTTAGTTTAATGTGGACTCCGAGCGGAACCGAATGCTATTACGTGTAGCTATTTCATAGTTCTGTTAAATTTTTACTCATAATTATTGATTACTAGAATAATTTGAAACATAACCGTTAACACCTAACCCAGTAACCGTTAGGATGAAACATATAGACTGTCGCTCCTTGGTGTTGACCTCAGTGTCCACTTTTATATTTACATACGTTCTATATATGATAATGAACACCTTTACAGATCAGTATAGCATCCTTTAAAATGTATATTTTAAGCGTACACACACACGTATATATATATATATATATATATATATATACACCTAGTGAGCCAGACAAACCTACCTAGGTTTCACCTAAACGGATCGTCGTAATCTGTGACGTCATATATATATATATATATATATATATGACGTCACAGATTATGAAATAAACAAAAAGTCCGACAATTATTTTAAGACATTTTATGTTTATACATTCTTTTTATAGATAGAAATATTTAAGTTACAGACCGGTAAATGTTGTTTGACACTGTTGATTATAAACAGAGCATTTACTTAAATATTTATTTGTTTCTATAAAAAGAATGTATAAACATAAAATGTTTTTATATATATATATATATATATATATATATATATATTATAAATTAATTGATTTAATATATGTTTTTTTCGCTACACAGTTCTAACCATGTTTCAAAAATGGAAGCTGAAAGCTCTGAATTTAATTATATATATATATATATATATATATATATATATATATATATATATATATATATATATATCGTAGTTTATTAATTTGCTTATTATTGGGAAAATGTATGATAAAATGGAAAAAGATT